ATCCACACTTTGAGAGTGTATATTCATTTCCAAATATTTCTCTCTCTATATTCTTGACTATTAGTGAAAGATTTGATCGAGCGGCTTCATTCTGGACGTAGGTCACAAGTGGTGGTGACCGAACCAGGATATATTGTGTTTGCAATTCTCTAAACTCTTTATTTCTAGCATTTTAATTGCTTCCTTGATATCTTGTATGTGCTAGAATAAGTTCTATAATTGTGATATAATATATATTATAGATTATTTGAATGTTGTTGTAAATAATATTGATTATTTAGTTTTTATTTAGTCATTTATTGTTGTATTGGGCCAAGCCCTTTGTTGTATTGGGCCAAGCCCATTAGGTTAAAAGTAGGTCAAATATTCTCTATAAATAGAGAACCCTTTGTACACATTATTTACAATTCTATAATATATTAGAATACCCTTTTTCAAGTTGGTATCAGAGCTCTCGATCTGAGGGCTTTGCTTCCGCACATATTATCTTTTTTTTTTAACAAAACCCTAATTTCTTTGCCTCTTGCCGCATCAGCCGCCACCGGAAAATTTTTCCGGGGACCTTTTGGACCAAGGGGACCATTGTTAACCTTATTTTTCCTCCGATCTATCATTCTACGCATTGTTCCTCCGCCACAAACGACCGAAACACCTCTGACCGCCTCTAATCAGATCTGTCTTCACTGTTTGGGCCACTTTCCGGCGACTTTTCAACCGCGACCACCCACAGACAGGTGCGCGCTCACTGGACGACCACACCAGAAAAATCTCAGCCGGCGAAGCCCATCCACGCGCTCTCACGCGCCGCCCTTTTCCCGGCGAGTGAATCCCACGCGCAGCTCCTTTCTCCAGCGCGTGGAGGAGCGTACGACCGTGTTTTTGGACCGGACCACCACCATTCTTCTCTTCTTCTTGTCTTCTGTCTGGATCTGTAATTATTTTTCTGATCAGAGGTCATTTGATATTTTGTTTGGTTGATTTTATCGCTGGTTGTTAACTTTTTTTGTTAAAGAATGGCCGAGCATGATAGTTCTTTGATCTTATCTGGTAAGAGCACACGTTCTATATCTCTTCTTGCACTGATTTTAAAACCTCATGGATTTTGGATTCTGGTGCAACTGATCATATGGCTTGTCGTACTGAGTTGTTTTGTTCTTATCATCCTACTGTTGGTAGTCTAACTATATCCGTAGCTGATGGATCCCATAAATCAGTTATTGGTTCTGGTAACATTCAAATTCAACCTTCCTTGTTTCTTAAAAATGTTCTTTATGTTCCTCAGCTTTCTACTAATCTTATCTCCACTCAAAAACTTACAACTGATTTGAATTGTTCTATCACATTTTTTCCTTCTCATTGTCTTATTCAGGATCTTACCACGAAGAAGACAATTGGAGTTGCTAATGAACAGGATGGGTTGTATCATCTCCTTCCAGACCATGCTAGCAAAAATCAGTTATTAATGACACGTCATCCTTCTACTGCAGAGTCTATGATTTGGCTCCATCACAAGCGTCTGGGGCATCCACCATTTAGTCTTTTGAAGTCTATGTTCCCCTCTCTGTTTCTCAATAAGTCGGTTGAGACCTTTCATTGTGATGTTTGTGAATTTGCAAAACACCATCGAGTGTCATTTCCTTCTAGCACTATTAAAAGCAGGGAACCTTTTTCTCTTATCCATTCTGATGTTTGAGGCCCTTCTAAAGTGCACAGTGTTTCAGGTGCAAGGTGGTTTGTTTCTTTTATTGACGATTGTACTCGGATAACATGGATATACTTGATGAAAGACAAGTCTGAAGTACCAGAGATATTTATTCGGTTTCATCACATGGTTAAGACTCAGTTTGGTAAGGGTATTAAAAGACTCAGATCTGATAATGGTACTGAGTATGTCAATCAACGCCTGTCACAATTCATTTCAGACAGAGGTATGATTCATGAGCTCACATGTGTTGATACCCCTCAACAAAACGGGGTTGCTGAAAGGAAAAATCGTCATCTTCTTGAAGTTGCTAGAGCACTACTTTTTCAGACATCTGTTCCTAGTTCTTATTGGGGAGAAGCAGTATTAGCTGCAACTTTTTTGATCAACCGTTTACCTTCACGGGTCCTTAACAATATCAGTCCTATTCATTCCATGACTTCCTTCTTTCCTTCTGTTCCCATATTGCAGAGCCTTCCACCAAGAGTGTTTGGATGTGGTGCCTTTGTCCATGTTCATAAACAACATCAGAGTAAGTTGGATCCTAGGGCTCTTAAGTGTGTCTTCCTTGGTTATAACCCTTATAAAAAAGGGTACAAGAGTTATCATCCACCAAGTCGGAAATTTTTTGTTTCTATGGATGTCACCTTTCAAGAATCTGAATCTTATTTCCTGGGTCCTCATCGTCAGGGGGAGAATAGTTCTTCAGAAGACTCGTCCCCTTCCTTCTTTGAGTCTGCATCAATCTTCTCTCTTCCTAGTGTGTCTGCTCCTGGTGTGTCAGAACCTTCAAATACACTTGAGATACAACCCATACTGTCTCACCAGCAACCTCAATCGTCTGAACCACTGGTAAGTCCTGAATCTCCTATTTCTTCTGAGTCTCCTGAATCTCCTGTTTCTGATTCTAATATTATTTCCTCTCATGATTTGTCTATTTCTTCTGATATCTATAATGACTTACCCATTGCTTCTACTTCTGATGACTTACCTATTGCTCTTAGAAAAGGAAAAAGATCTTGTCACAAGAAAACTTGTTCCTCTTGTACTCAATACCCTATCTCCCACTTTGTTTCCTCTGCTAATCTTTCTGTGCAGCACAAAAGCTTTGTTTCAGCACTAGATTCTATTACAATCCCAAAATCAGTACATGAAGCCTTGAAAGATAGGAATTGGGCTCAAGCTATGCAAGAGGAGATGAATGCTTTGGAGAAAAATAAAACATGGGAGGTTATTGATAAACCCAACGGAAAGAAAGCAATAGGGTGCATATGGGTTTATGCCCTGAAATATAATTCTGATGGCACTCTTGAGAGATATAAGGCTCGATTAGTGGCCAAAGGTTACACTCAAACCTATGGCATTGATTATGAAGAAACCGTTGCTCCAGTTGCAAAGATGAATACAGTGAGAATCTTGTTATCCCTTGCTGCCCATTACAATTGGGATATAAATCAATTTGATGTGAAAAATGCTTTCCTCAATGGTGAGTTAGAAGAAGAAGTCTACATGGAAATCCCGCCTGGTTTTGATTCTGCGAAGGGGAAAAATAAAGTTTGTAGATTAAAAAAGGCCTTGTATGGATTGAAGCAGTCACCTCGTGCTTGGTTTGGAAGATTTACTAAGGTTATGATGACCTTAGGATACAGACAGAGCCAAGGAGATCACACTTTTTTCTTCAAGCACTCCCAAAATGGGAAGCTTACTGTGCTCCTTGTATATGTTGATGATATTATTATCACAGGTGATGATTTTGTGGAGAGACAGATTCTGCAAACACGGCTTGCCTCTGAGTTTGAAATCAAAGACCTTGGGAAACTGAGATATTTCCTAGGGATAGAAGTAGCTCATTCAAGCAAAGGAATTTTTATTAGCCAGAGGAAATATGTTCTTGATCTTCTCAAAGAAGCAGGAAAGCTCGGGTGTAAACCCTCTAATACTCCTATTGAGCAGAATCACAAGATGGGCTATGAAGAAGAGAGTCCTCCAGTTGATAAAGGACAATATCAACGGCTAGTTGGGAAATTGATATATTTGGTCCATACTAGACCAGACCTAGCTTATACTGTTAGTGTTGTCAGTCAGTTTATGCACGATCCAAAGGAAAAACACATGCAGGCAGTAGAGAGAATTCTTCAGTATCTTAAAGGTACTCCTGGTAAAGGATTGTTATTCCGACGTGATGGCAATCTATCTTTAGAAGTCTACACAGATGCTGATTATGCTGGATCCGTGACTGACCATCGTTCTACCACTAGTTATTGCATGTTTCTTTGCGGTAACTTGGTGACATGAAGAAGTAAGAAACAAGATGTGGTTGCCAGATCAAGTGCAGAAGCTGAATTTCGAGCTATGGCTTAAGGCATTTGTGAGTTACTGTGGCTGAAAATTGTACTTGATGATCTCAAAATAAAATGTGAGGGACCTATGAAGCTGCTATGTGATAATAAGTCCGCTATTTGTATAGCTCATAATCCAGTTCAACATGATCGGACTAAACATATTGAAGTCGACCGCCATTTCATCAAAGAGAAACTTGATAGCGGGTTGATTACCACTCCATACATTCCCACTGGGCGTCAATTAGCTGATCTATTAACAAAGGGGCCTCCTTCAGACAGATTTCAAGAACTTACTAGCAAGCTGGGAATGATAAATATCTATTCCTCAGCTTGAGGGGGAGTGTTGTAAATAATATTGATTATTTAGTTTTTATTTAGTCATTTATTGTTGTATTGGGCCAAGCCCTTTGTTGTATTGGGCCAAACCCATTAGGTTAAAAGTAGGTCAAATATTCTCTATAAATAGAGAACCCTTTGTACACATTATTTACAATTCTATAATATATTAGAATACCCTTTTTCAAGTAATGTATTGATTAGCTTTTCACATATCAAAGATTGCTTGAAATCATTATTTAGAAACTAGAAGGGGGGGTTTTTGCGAAAATCTTGTAATACTCAATTTACCCCCCTCTTGAGTATGGAAGCCACATTCCTAACAAGTGGTATCAGAGCTTAGTGCTCAGTTAGAGGTTTAACCACCTAGAGTTAAAGATCCTTGTTGGAGCTTCCAATATAATTTAATTTTAAATCAAAAAAAAATACAAGGCTTTAAATGTGATAAACCACCATTCTTTGATGGTGAAGATTTTGAATATTGGGTAAAAAGAATAGAAGTTTTTATTCAATCAATTCATCTTTATATGTGGCATGTTGTAGATAAAGGTTTTTCATTGAAAATAGAAGAATGCATAAATGATTTCAATAAAAGATGTTTTGTCTTCAATTTATAGGCTATGCAAATGCTTAGAAAAAGTTTATATGATGATGCATATACCAAGATCAAACATTGTAAGAATGCTAAAGATATATGAGATACTCTTGTTGCTATCTTTCTTGTTAATGATAACTTTGTGCATGAAGATGGATATAGAGAGCAAGTAGAGCAAAACCTATTGGAAGACGACAATCTTGATAAAAATATTCAAGAAGGAATTGAAAGTAATCAAGGAATCTCAACATCTCTTTTTGAGGATGATGACATTCAACTTGAGGTAACAAATACCAAACTTGATTATGTTCCTTCACATGATAATTTGCAATGTGCGTATGATGATTTGAATGATAGCTTGTTGAACTTGAAAAATAGAAATTTGGTTTCTATACAAAGTATTTGCTTCATTGAAAATCAAATTGAATCTTTGAAAAATATATATGATTTTCAAGAAGAGGACATACCCTTGAATTGTGAATCCTCAACCATTCTTAAAAATTGCATTGATGTTGATAATCAAGTTGAGGAATTATCATCCAAACTTTCCATAATTGATAATCTTACATGCTCATATTCCATGTTTGAAAATGAAAATAATAATGATATTTTTGTACATGAAAAACCTAGAAATGATTGTGGAAATAATAGCTTGGATAATGATAATAGCAAGAAAACCAAAAATTTAAAAGTTGAGCTTGAAAAGAACAAGTTATCTTGCAAATATATTGTATGTAATTATTGTGGTAATAGGATATATTTCTCATTTGTGCTATCATAGAAAAAATTCTTGCATAAGAAATAACATGGTTTGGGTTGCTAAAGATTCTATGAATGCTAATTTTAATACTCAAGGACTCAAGATGAAATGGGTACCAAAAAGTCTTCCTAGTGTTTCAAATATGCAAAAAATTAATCACGAGGATAGACAAAAGTGTCAAGAGAAGAAGAAATCCTCAAGAAGAATGCTTCCAAGGCCCAATGATAGAATTGTCAATCAAAGAAGAAATGAGACATCAATCAAAGCCTCCCACAAACTTAAGATAGAACCTAGAAGATTCAAAATCCAAAGAGAGAAACAATGGGTAAGAAAAACTCCTCATTTGATTGCAAAGGCCAAGGTATCAAATGTCTTTATCTCTTATGCATATTCACTTGTAAAGCCAATGAATGTGAAGTATATTCCCTATAAGTCCTAAGCAATTGATAAAATCATGTGTGCTTGATTTGAATGTTGAAAAATTATATTTAACAGTTTGTTCATCTTCAAATCTAGAAATTTTTATAATTTTTTATTTACCACAAAAGTCCCAGTATTTACGTGAACATGGCTGTTCAGTCAGAAATTCTGTTTTGGACGGGTAAACTTTAATTGATCATATCTTGAGCTATAGAACTCTGATTATGGTGATTCTTATCTTATAAGAAAGCTTAAGATTTGTACTATATTATATATATATATATATATTTTGAATTTATGAGTCATGCCCAGTTTCAATATGATTCATGCCTAGTTTCAAATACAAATTAACTGGTTTGAAAGGATAGAAATGAACATGCTTTTAGCTTTGTGCTTAATGCTAATTGAATGGTCAATTTATTATGCTTAATTTGTTTATAATAGTATATTTGTTCTTCATGAGAGCATAATGGATTGATGATCATGCATTAATCCTCGTGGATCCAAAATTTGGATACCAAAAGCACTTTAAGTTGTTTACTAGGATTACAATTACCTCAAGCTTGCATTTAAATGAAATAATATTTTTCAACTTGAGGATTGTAAGATGTGAATGGATTCAAATTCTAAGAGGAGATGCAAACATGGAGGCCTATTCCACGCTTTCAAGAAGACTTGACACTCGGAAGTTGAAGTTATTTATAAGATTGGTGATATCAATCTCTTATCCTTTATTATGCTTTAAATGTTATAAATTGTTTGAGAGTTGATTGAATATCCTAGTATATTCTAAAGTGGTGGTACTCTAGCAATATCCCTTATATGTCATCATATATGCTAGTATGTTATAAGCACACACATGGTTGCAATACAAATGATAATCTCCTTGATCTTGAGTTTATGATTACCTTTGTATTTACATGGAGATACATATGCTTAAAAATGATTTGACTTCTTTGTTATGTGCGTAAATGTTTGACACACTTACTTGAAACATGGAAAATCAAATAGCTTCTTGTTTGAAATTTCTTGATATATGTCACACTCTTTGAAACAAGAAGAATATAATTAAAATGCTAATTCCATGATCTTTCAAGTGTTGCTTTTTGAAAAGGAATTGTATCTTTTGGATTGACATGTGTTTGTGTTTGAAATCGCTTATCTATCACAACATGCCTTATATAATCATTACTAATTTCAAAATGTTTCAATATGTTTTGATGATAATTGTGTACTTGTTAATCTTTAATCATGCTGAAATATTCCTAAAGATTCAAGTGCATATATTCCATGGTTGATAATGTAATACATGTTTCATATTGTATGTCAATCTAATTTATGCTTCGAGATGTGCTTAAATGATATTTGTTGCTAACCTTTGATTTGAAAAGTATAACACCTTGCATTTCTAAATTAAATATTAAAATATTAAACATGGATTAAATAGAAGGATTAGTGAAAATCCTAGAAATTAGGTCAAAATACAAAGGAAGGGTAAAACGATAATTAGCCAGACACACAACACAAAATGAGGGGGAGTAACATTATGCATTTTAAGAGAATATCTGTTATGCTAACTATTTCTCAATTTTAAGTTTGTCATCATCAAAAAGGGGGAGATTGTAGATACAAGGTATGTTTTGATGATAACAAAGTGGCAACAAAAAAAAAAGCAAGATCATTTGATCAAGAGCAAAAATCATCAACCATATGTGGATATTGAAGATGTATGATGTAGCCACACAAGAAGAGTGATGTCATATTAAAGTGGTAATATCATTGGATCAAGAGCAACAAAGAATATTTAGAAGAGAAATAACAAGATCAAAGACAACTAACCATGAACAACATCCGAGAGAAACTCAATATCATAACCGTGGTGAAAAATGATCAAAACCAACAAAGTGTCAAGCATTGTCATATCCAACAAGTCAAAGCATCAAGGTCAAGTGAAGATCCAAGACACAAGACATAAATCTAAGTCTAAAATCATATTTGGAATATATTTTTAGGACTTAGAATATATGTGAGGGTATATGGTAGATTGCATTGCATGAGCTCTAAGTTTTTCTCAAAGTAAACGTGTTTTTCGAATTGCATAATCATAGCCTTTATATACTTGAAAGAAATTTGAAAAACTCATGAAAAAGATCATTGACATATTTTATAACTTCAAAACATATTTACCAAGTCAAGATCTTTCATAAAAAGTGGTTGGAAGCAAGTTAGAACACATTTGAACATAGAATTTGCTGAATAATTTTGCTGCTTCCTTCCATACAATTTTTCGTATCAAAGATGATGGATTTAGATCTTGTGTTCGTCATAAAAGTTGTAGATCTTTCTTTTATCTTTCCAACAAGATCACATCAATCTGACATGAATAGCTCAAGTTATGCGCAAAATATGTAACAATATTATTGTTGTCGTATTTCCAACCTTTCCAACATGTTGGGAATCGATTCCTTATGATCAAGAATCGATTCCCACTCTCTGGAAATATTGGGAATCGATTCTCACTCATTGAGAATCGATTCCCCCTGCGACAGAAAGCCTATAACGGCTATAAATGTAAGAACCCGCACCGTTAATTAAGGAATTTAATTAATAAATTACGAGAAAATAGGAAATGATTCCATAATTGACCCTAATAATTATTTATGAGGCTTAATAATCGTAATAAGTGATTAAGAATGCTAAAAGTCGCTTTTCGGAAGAAAAGTGCAGATACCGGTTCTGCTAGTCGGTATAAATGCGTGCCAAAAAAGTATCCCGGAAAATTAATGTAAGTGCATGATAATTATAGAATAATATGTAGGACTTGTAAAACGAGTTTCAAGTCCAGATAATGAGAACTGGTGCTAGAAACCGGTAGTGGCTTTGAAAAGCGCGTACCGGAAAGTTGCTTAGAAAATTATAAAAAAAATATGATAAATCTTAGAAAATTATGTAGTTTCAGAATCCAAATTTTGGGATTAAAATGCTAAGCGTAGCAATTAAAGTTAATACTGTGTGTTTAAGAGTGTTTGGGCTATAAATACTCCCATTATGGGCACAAAACCCTAGGACCAGATTTCTATTCGTGAGTAACTTGGAGGCTGACCAGAAAACACTCCTTCCTTGCCTTCTTCACCATTTCTTGAGCAAGCATTCACCTTTGATCCTTGTTCTTCCATTTAAACACTTGGTGAGGGTGAGGGTGAGGGTTGGCCTTGGGACTACATTGGGGTGGTGTTTCTGAGTTAGAGAACCTGTGTGAGGGAGTTTGAAGAGCTGTGTTTGCTGTTCTTGAGGGGTGTGACCTTTTGTTGGCATTTTGATGCTTCAAGGTGTCTTCTTGTTGAGTAAAAGAGTCATCTTGTGTTCATTTTCGTGCATCCTCTTGTGACAGTAGCTTGAGACTGATTGTGAGCTCCAAGAGCATCTCCCTTTGCTGTTTTTGAGCTGTGGTATGTGTACCAACCTTTAACTTGAGTTTTAAGGCTTAAAAATGGTACCTTGATGCATCTAATGACTAAAAGATGATAACTTGTTGTTGGGTAATGTTGAACACACCTAGAAATGCATGATTAGATGTATAAAATCGGTAAAAAGGGAACCTTTTAGGGATATCTTCACGAAAATGCAGAAACTGCATTCTGTCGTGAGATATCCGGATATTTGTCGAACTGATATCCGGATATTGGATATCTGGATACGTGGTTTTGGGATATCCGGATATTGGATATCCGGATATGTGAATCTGTATATCCGGATATTGCATATCCGGATATGGACAGTGAGATATCCGGATATTCTGGGATTTCGCAGAACAGCAGTTGTGCTGTGTGTACAGTAGGCTATTGGGGGTTTGTGGACCCTAGTTTGATGAAGTTGAACTTCTGTATTTAATGGATTAAGCCAGAATCATGGGATTAAGGGCTTGTGGCTTTGTTAGAAGCTTTAAGACTTGAAAACGTAATGAAAAGGCGTTGTCTTAATATTATATGCTTGTGGTGCATGTTGTTGATGTATTGTTGGTCCATAACAGATTGTGAATCTACTGTGTTTGGACTTTGAGCTGTGGACTCTTGGCTTTTGGAGTTAGCTTGCAAGGTAAGCTTTCGTGTCCTCGGTTTAGCCATGTTGTGGTACCACCATGTCCCATGGGGGTATGGTTTATGCATGCTGTGTACATGCTTTTGAATATTTGATATGTTGATTGAACTTTATATGTGATGGATTTTAATATGCATGTGTTGTTTCATCTTGACGGGAAGCCTGAGTATGTAGCGTCATACAAGACGGTGTACCGGGGTGAATGCAAGTGGTACTTGCACGGTGTGTAGGTGATAGACGTATACCTGCACTGTCTCTGGCCAGTAGATTAGTATTGACACACATGGCATGATTATCTGCTGCATTGCATTGTTTTAGAAATGATAAATGATAAATTTCTTTTGAACTTATATTGCACATGTAAGTGAGCTTGGGGTGGAAGATCCTTGAGGACTCACTGACTTACTGAGATTTCTAGATTAGAGATCTTACCCCATGTTTGGGGAATGCTTATTTCAGGATCAGGTAGTATGGGTACTGATGCCTCGGGCGACAGGAGGCCGGAGCTTAGCTGATTATGTTTTACTGCTTTATGTTAGCATGACTGGATTTGGGATGTTGTTTATGTTTTCCGCTATTTATGATATGTTGTTGTTGAGACTGATGTTGGGCATGTTGCCTTATTTGAGTGAGCATGGGGATTGTCCATGACACTTTTGTTAGTACTTTTATATTGGAGTTGTATAACTGTTAGATGGTCCGGTCTGCATTGTTGTAGTTCCATGACTAGAGCCACACTTATATCATCTATGTTATGAGGTTTTTCAGTTAGCTGTTTTATTGCAATTACATACAGTGATGTTTTATTAATTGATTATTAAGCAAGTTGGTAATGTTAATGGCATCATAATTGAAAAGAAAAAGTAATTCTGTATTTTAATTAAGCGCAGCTTAATACGATATTATGATAACATAACCGGATATATACGGGGTGTTACAATAAACAGCTAGTTTTGCTAAAAATCACTATAAATACATTCCTTATGACCCTAAAATGTTAAGATCACCATTCCTACACATCCTAAGTATGATTTGAGAGCTTCTACACTATCATTTGCATATTCTTTCATATATTTCAAAGATCAAACATATTTGAGCTCATATCTTGAAAATCCATATACCCATAGTGCTTCAAGTTGTATATCCACACTTTGAGAGTGTATATTCATTTCCAAATATTTCTCTCTTTATATTCTTGAGTTGAAAGGGTTGTGAGACCCATTGTTTGAGAGGTAGCCAAATACCTAAGTAAATTTGGAGTGAATTGTAAGATTGCCAAGTATCCATAAAATTGAAGATTATAAGGTATCCAAGAACCCGAAGTCTTGGAAGATTGTAAAGGTTTGTCAAGCACCCATGAAGCTTGACCATTAGTGAAAGAGTTGATCGAACGACTTCAGTCTGGACGTTGGTCACAAGTGGTGGTGACCGAACCAGGATATATTGTGTTTGCAATTCTCTAAACTCTAAACTCTTTATTTCTAGCACTTAAATTGCTTCCTTGATATCTTGTATGTGCTAGAATAAGTTCTATAATTGTGATATAATATATATTATGGATTGTTTGAATGTATTGATTAGCTTTTCGCATATCAAAGATTGTTTGAAATCATTATTTAGAAACTAGAAGGGGGGGTTTTTGCGAAAATCTTGTAATACTCAATTCACCCCCTCTTGAGTATGGAAGCCACATTCCTAACAGACACAATGCCTTGTAACTAGCCCTAGTGAGATCTATCAGATTTACTCAGTCAATCGGTGGACATGATGCCTTGTAACCATCGACCTTGTGTGTAAACCAAGACAATAGAAAACACACAATTGTTCCTTAGACATAGTTGGTCCTCTATATGTATCCATTTTGGCCTTGGGCACCTTTTGGTTCTGCAGGTGCATTAGAGAATATAGCCTTGCAATATTTTCATAGAAGCAACCCTCACTTCACACCCACATAGGTGATTTTTGGCAATGTATCCCAACATACACTGTCTGAACACATCAGAATCAGAAATCATTAAAAGCTTACTTGTTTACCCTTTACTTATGCATTGCCTTGTCTAGGAATGAGTATGAGCTTTGAAAAACTCTACGATGCTTATCCGTCAATCTTTACTTTGTTTTCTCTTTGAATCTAGTTCGAGGGATCTCCACTCTTCTAGGTAGAGTGTCCGCAATAATCAACATTTTAAAGGCCTTAAACTCATTCCTTTCGACAAACTACACATAAACTCTCTAGTTAAACATTTAGTTGACAGATCCGTATTAATATCACTAGAGAGTAATTGTCTCATAGTATCATGTCTCCAATATATATATATATATATATATATATATATATATCTTGAGACTTATCATTATATATAACACTTCTTGCAATTCCGACTACTACCTTACTATCATAACGGATGTGTAATATCAAATAATAATAATAATTTATTTTCAAATTACCGTTAATTGTTACACATTAGAACAATATTATCGTTTGATAAACTAGTAGTTTGACATTACTATAATGTTTCGCTCAAAAGTCATTAATACTGTAAAAATTCATTTACCAAGAAAAGTAGACTATAGATTCATTTAAATGTTTAAAAATAGCTAAACGAATAATTATGTTTAAAATTCTGAACTTGACAAAAAATTCTTATAAAGTTATACAATGAATAATTTAGACTCGCGTATAAAGCTGATGTAACTGTACAGATTTAATTACATATTATATTTAATATTAATTAAATTGTGCATTATTTTTTCTGTCATCAATTAAAGAATATATTATTATGTCAAAAGTAGTGTATTATTAGGGAAAATTTTCTGGATTTTGGAATTCAACCCGCAGATACTCAAATCGTCAGTTGCAATATCAAATAATAATAATAATAATAATAAGTTTAATTATGTTGTTGTATATATATATATATATATATATATATATATATATATATATATATATATATATTTACAAAATAAAATAATATTAATATATAAGTAAATATTATAGATATCAATAAATAACATTGTTATTTGTATTATAATAATTTAACTAAAAGCAAATAACACAAAATTATAACATTGTATATATAAGCTATCTATTATATGTAGTAAAAAGATTATGTTAGTATCATGAAATATTATATGATAGTAAACTATTGTGGTATACAATACAAATATTGCTTTATTGTAAAACTATAATAATATTACAGTTATCCTTGTATACAAAAAAATAAAAATAAGGAATAATAAATCATCTAGAAGAAGCAACATGGAAGATGAGATAGGTTTGATAAGATTCTCTTAATATGTAATGATTGTTTTTTTTAAGGTCAGTTAAATTTGAAGGAAAATTTATTTAGTTTGATTAGAATCTAAATATATGTAATGATAAGCCAAGTCAAAAAGGGGTTATATATATATATATATGTAAGTGGGGTTGTTGAATGAAGAAGGGAAAAGTAGAGAATCAGAGGCATAAAGGAGGCGAAAAGGGAGACACAGAAGCGAAAAAAAAAAGCCAAGAGAAGGAAGAAAAAACTTTCTCTCATTTTCTCTTCTTTTCGCTATTCTTTTAAAATTTTTAACGGTACTGTTATTATGCCAAATTCTTTTCTTAAATTTCTTTTCTACTTGATTTTATTCATATCTTTAGCTTTATTATTAATTAGTCCTAAGACCTTTTTTTTAAAAAAAAAGTTGATTACTGGTTAATGAGTTATTTGGTACCAAATAAATATTAAAAGAATGTGTAATTTTAACTGTAAGATATTGGTGTGAACTGACCCATAAAGTTTTGAGATCAGACAGTTAAAGGGTAAGAGACGCCTTATCATGGTTTGAGCTCCGCCATACAAAATTTTTCACATGCAGGAGACCCATAAAAATTGGGTATTTAAATAGCTTCAGTTAAACATTATACAATATAGTGTTTATTATTATTCTATTATTGTTTCATTTTTCTATTAATTGAGAGAATGATATTTTCTGTTACTATAGCTGTAAATAGTTATAGTTAAAAAAAAGCCTCAATATTACTGAGAAATTTTTTCATGTTTTATTTGTGTTGCTAACCTTTCCAGAAAATCATAATGCCTAGCCTAAGCTTGTCAGGTGAAGGATGGAGTATCAATGTTTACTCTTACGATGATCGCATGAAATTCTATATTGTAGTAGAAAATCAAGGAGCTGCTGCAATATTCTATGCTGAAAGTGTTGAGACCTACACCTATAGACTAGATTAGGAAAAGACCCATGTATTGTATAATTATGTGATGTAAGGATGTAAAATATAAATAAAGTGATGTAATATATAGTAGGATGTAGGACCAGTGTAAAATAATTCCAGTATGTACCTAACTCAACGATATGTATAAAGTGATGTTGGAAGATGTTTATATAGTTCTTTTTAATTGTTCTTATCATTAATAGTAAAGTTTAAGAAATCAGTTTATATCTATTAATAACGTTAGCACCTCTCCATTTTATTTCTTACTATCTAATGATACAAGAAAATATAATTTAAAGAAGTCAGGTAAGATTCTTTATATTAATTAAATTATAGAGTATGTTACATTTTATGGTATCAGAGCAGCAGTCCAGGTAAGAAAAAAAATTAAATTAGTATAGTTGCTTGGTATTTTGTCACAGATAATGCATATTTTGAGTTATTTTAATGAGCCTGATCAACTCATTATCATAAAACAATATATGTAGATCTATGGCAGATACAAGGCAGACATCTTCAACTTATGAACCAGAATTTACCCCAATAATTGATGCATTTACCCGAGTGGCAAAAGCTCTTAGAGAACAGACTATAACTGATCAACAAATTATTCAGGAGCTGGGGGAGGATCGTGCAACCAAAAATCACACCCATAATTCTGAAAGTGAAAGTGGAGCTAGAACTGCATATACTCAGGGAGGACCTAATGTTGATTATAAAGGACTCGCTGAATTTCGTAAGCATAAACCTTCCACGATGCATTAGAGAATATAGCCTTGCAATATTCTCATAGAAGTAACCCTCACTTCACACCCACATAGGTGATTTTTGGCAATGTATCCCAACATACACCATCTGAACACATCAGAATAAAAAATCATTAAAAGCTTACTTGCTTACCCTTTTCTTATGCATTGCCTTGTCTAGGAATGAGTATAAGTTTTGAAAAACTCTACAATGATTATCCGTCAATCATTACTTGGTTTTCTCTTTGAATCTAGTTCGAGGGATCTCCACTCTTCTAAGTAGAGTGTCCACAATAATCAACATTTTAAAGGCCTTAAACTCTTTCCTTTCGACAAACTACACATCAACTATCTAGTTACATATTTAGTTAACAGATCCGTATTAATACCACTAGAGAGTGTGTGTGTATATATATATATATATATATATATATATATATATATATATGACTTAGCATTATATATATAACACTCCTTGCAATTCCGGCTGCTACCTTACTATCATAGCGGATGCATATAGCAAACATTAATTTTAGCCAATTCAGAATACCCCTAAGGTGTAATCCAAAAAAAAAAAAAAAAAATACCCCCAAGGAAGTTACATAGCCACTCGGCTACCCCACAAACTCTATCAGAGGCAATAAATTATACTTCATGGTCAACCTTGTAATATATGTTTGCTTCGATGGTTTCCAAGACACAAAATGAGACCTCCTACATTCTAGAAGATTATGCGTAAATGGTTTTGATGATGTCAAAGCATGGAGAACTCATTTTGAAGATGCTAAATGTAAGAACCTGCGCCGTTAATTAAGGTATTTAATTAATTAATTATGTGAAAATAGGAAATGATTCCATAATTGAACCTAATAATTATTTATGAGGCTTAATAATCATAATTAGTGATTAAGAATGCTGAAAATCGCTTTTCGGAAGAAAAATGCAGATACCGGTTCTGCTAGTCAGTATAAATGTGTACCGAAAAAGTATCCCGGAAAATTAAGTAAGTGCATGGTAATTACTAGAATAATATGTAGGACTTGTAAAACGAGTTTCAAGTCCAAATAATGAGAACTGGTGCTAGAAACCGGTACTGGCTTTGAAAAGCGCGTACCGGAAAGGTGTTCAGAAAAATATAAGAAAAGTATGATAAATCTTAGAAAATTATGTAGTTTCATAATCCAAAGTTTGGTATTAAAATGCTAAGCGTAGCAATTAAAGTTAATACTGCGTGCTTAAGTGAGTTTTGGCTATAAATACTCCCATTATGGGCACAAAACCCTAGGATCAGATTTCTCTACGTGAGTTGGGGCTGACCATTTGCTGGTTACTGTTCCATTGGCTTTCCCTTCCATTTCTTGAGACAAGTTGTGATCTTTCTTTAGTTTCTTCACATTTCCACCTTGTAAACACTTGGGAGCAGCCTTGTGGGAGTGAAATGAGGGTCTTTTCTGAGTCTTAGCCACTGTTTGAGTCAGTCTTGAGGGATGAGTTTGGAGGTTGAGTAGTGGAAGCCTTGGTCTTGCCATTTGTGAACTCCAAGTGCCTATCTTTGTGGAGAAAGGAGCCATCTTGTTGTGCATTTTCGTGCACCTTCTTAGTCAGAATTGTGAGGAGCTGTGTTGAGCTCCAAGAGCATCTCCATTCTGAGTTTTGAGTCTTGGTATGTTGTACCAACCTTTAACTTGAGTTTTAAGGCTTAAAAATGGAAGCTTGATGCATGTTAAGGTTAAAAGATGATAACTTGTTGTTGGGTAAGGCTTAACACACCTAGAAATGCATGATTAGGTGTTTAAAATCGGTAAAAGGGAACCTTTAAGGGATATCTTCACGGAAATGCAGAAACTGCATTCTGTCGTGAAATATCTGGATATCTGCCCGTGGAATATCCGGATATGGGATATCCGGATATTGAATATCCGGATATGTACAGTGAGATATCCGGATATTGCATATCCGGATATGGTCCCGAGGAGTATCCGGATATTCTGGGATTTCGCAGAACAGTAGTTGTGCTGTGCATACAGTAGGCTATTGGGGGTTTGTAGACCCTAGATTGATGAAGTTGAACTTCTGTATTTAATGGATTAAGCCAGAATCATGAGATTAAGGGCTTGTGGCTTTGTTAGAAGCTTTAAGACTGGAAAACGTAATGAAAAGGCGTTGTCTTTAATGTGTATGCATGTGGTACATGTTTATTGATTTATATTTGGTCCATATCATATTGTGATCTGCTGTGATTGGACTTTGAGCTTGTGGCATTGGATAGCTAGCTTAGAGGTAAGCTTTCGTGTCCTCGGTTTAGCCATGTTGTGGTTCCATATGTCCCATGGGGGTATGGTTATATGCATGCTGTGTTACATGCTTTTGATGTTTTGGAAATGCTGTTGAGCTATTGTATGTTAGTGCCTTGTTGATATGCATGGAGGTGTTCCACCTATACGGTAAGCCTGAGTATGTAGAACATACAAGAGGGTGAGGCTGTGGGTGAGGTACAAGCGGTGTTCCTTGTACTACATGTAGGGAATAGACGTATTCCTACATTTCTCTGGCCAATAGATAGTGATAGACACACATGCCATAGATATCTGTTGCACTACATAGTTTTGGAACTGATAATGATATAAATGCTTTTTGAACTTATATTGCACATGTAAGTGAGCTTGGGGTGGAAGATCCTTGAGGACCCCTTGTCTTACTGAGATTTCTAGTTTAGAGATCTCACCCCACGTTTGGGGAATGCTTATTTCAGGGTCAGGTAATGTTGAGACCTCAGGCGGCAGGAGGCCGGAGCTGAGTTAGATTGCTGTTATATTATGCTGCCATGATTGGATGCTGGATTTGCATGCTGCTTATGCTTATAGCTTCAGTTTATGTTTATGGAGTTTTGTGTTGAGACTTGTTGTTTACTATGTTATTTGGTGAGCATGGGGATTGTCCATGACACATAGTATTATTATGTCTTGAGTCTTTTGGAGTTGTAATAATGTATCAGGATATTGTCCGGATTACTTGATGTAATGTCGTGATTTAGATACACACTTTATCTATATATTGAGGTATTTCAGTAGATGTCTTATTGCAATTTACATACAAGCGATATTTTATGAAACTGATTAAGTAATCAAGTTGGTAATTGATAATGACGTCATAATTGAAAAGAAAAAGAATATTCCACATTTTTAATTAAGCACCGCTTAATACGATGTAATGTTAATATTCCGGGTATACACGGAGTGTTACACGAAAGTTTCTGGTTAAATAAATTTTAGATTCTTTGTAACACATTAAATATATCTCTAAGCATGATTTCAAGCTCCATTGCATCTCATATTAAAATTTAATAATTTTTTACGGGTTTAGTTAAAATTATAAACTAAATCAATTAATTAAATAGGTTTTAGAAATAAATAGTTTTAAAATTAAGTGACATTAATAAAATAAAATAAAAATATAAAACCCATCAAAAGTAGCTTTTCCAAAAATTTAGTAATCAATATATAAAATCTACAGGTCACGTAGGTTAATACTTTTGTAAAATTAAATTAAATAAATAAAAAATAAAATAATATAAATTTTTTTTAACACATCTGAACCATTTAACATTGTAGATGTGGTCTTGGTAGGATAAGTTAGCTTTTTGTTGGTAAAGCATTTTTTCTATTAGTAAAATAAGTGGCAAAAATCGAGAAAAGCTCTGTACAAGAAATCAAAAAAAAAAAAAAAGATTCAGTTCATTTTCTGAGATCCCCTTCATCTTCTTCGTTCATTCACGCTAAGATTGTTCTTCAAAAATCCATCTTCTTCGACCTGCAAAAATATACAGCACCTATTATGAGCGAAAATTTTCATTGAGATTAAGTCTCGTAAGCTACCTTGTGTGAGAGTGATATGTGGTGTTCCTCAAATCTTCCTCCCAAAAAAAATCCCCAAATTTCCATCAACAAATTTTCTCTTCTTGAACCCTAAACAAAGTGCACCACTGTTGATGAGTCTCTTGATCGATTTTTGAGTCAAGATTCGGTGATTTGGAGTGTTGTTCATGATTCTACAAGTTTGGAAGGATTTAATTCAAGATTCTTGGAACTAAGGTTAAAGAACCCTAACCACATTGTTTTACTTTGCTGAAAATTTGAGATCTCTTGAGGTAATATCTTAAACCTTGTTTTGAGCATCCTTTGGTATATTCTTGAGACGTGATATTGGTGATTTGATTTTCTGTTTTTATTTTGATACATTGTGAGTATTCAAATTTTTCTATTTTGAGTAAGAAAGCTTGTTGCTGCATTTTCTCTGTAAAATAAAAGGTCTGGTACGTTTTCTATTGATATACATCATATAGAAATCATTTTGGACATATAGGGACCTAAGGTAAAATTAGTAAAATTGTTATAGCTGTGTGACTGTTATCTGAATTGAACTTGCAAAATAATTTGATAATTTTCAATCTTGTTGAGTTGGTGTGGTGATTGAGCTTAATTGTTCAACTTTGTCTAGACTTTACAGATTTAAGGATCTACTAAGAAATTTTTTTTGAAAAAGTTTGGAACACCTATTCACCCCCTCTCTAGGTGTTCCGTACGCGTCTTGAGTAAGAAGCCACTTGCCCAACACAAAACCCCCACCAAGTGTGTTCACATACTTGCTTATAGACTTAGTGTCACTAGAGTTGGTGATTCAATTTGCATCACAATCCATATGCACCATTATTATGTGCATATCCAATGAACACACAGTCCGCTATATTTGGTATGATCTTAACCCTATTCGGTTTTGGAATCACGACCTTTGCCAAACACCCCCAAACTTTAAGATAATTCAAGGTAGGCTTTCTACCCTTTCACATTTCATGAGGGGTGTTTTTTATTTTCTTGTGGGATACTCTATTGTATAATTTGTCATTAAAAATGACTTTTCTCCATAAATTTTGTGATAAACCAGACGTCAACAACATCATTTCATTTTATTTTTGGTTCTTTATATGCAATTGCATTAAATTATAGCACATAAGGAGCAATGTTTCAAGTATAGTACCATACTCCAAACAAAGTTCATTGAAGATGACATCACTCATCTATTTTGCAATTGCTCCTTATTGCATTTATCTATTGATTTAACATTATTTGACTATAACACATATATCAAATAATAAACTCCAATTTCACCATAAAACAATTCACAATCATCACATCATTTATGGCATCCAAATCATGGGCAATTGGAATAAAATCATACAAATTTGAATAAAATCAACTCAAAGATTTGACCACTTTGGTCGTCAAGAAACTTACCATACTTTAATTCCTATATGCAAATATTGTGCAAACAATTTTAGGATTTAAAGTTCCACATTAAATCTTAATTCCATCAACATCACAACATATGTTTATATGCACACAACTTGACTTTGACCATGTCATCACTAAGATAGTCCTTTCAAGTTCGTATGGCATCAAATATTTACTAAATATAAAACTCTTATATCCATCATGTTATAAAGTGCATTATGGGCAAGAATAATTTACATACAGATAAAGACCATACATATCAATATATATGACATCACAAGAATTAATTATTTCCCATAATCAATAATATAATAATCAACTCAAGCCATAAATATTTCTCATTTCTCATATTTGTCAATAGAAATTAAATCTAGTTTAATTTACACAAAATTAAACCCAACAAATCAATCTAATGATTGATACCAAAAAATATGACAGTTATACATACTAAATGAAATTTCCATGAATATATATTAGAAGCATGTCAAATTAAACATAGATAGGCATGCGTACGTGTTTTGTAATCAGAAACAAACTAATGCCAAAAGCATGTTATGATGCAAACATCATGCACGGTATATACATGCATGCATAAATGCAAAGTGGTTGCAATCTAAATTTTTTTTCCAAACAACACCTCTGAGATAGCGGAGATCTGGTACTGTTGTGAGCCTCGAGTTTTTTCTTTAGTAGTTTATAGTTGGACTCATGAATAACTATTGTTATTTAGGGTTTCTAAGTTATTTGTATTCCCCTTATAAACAAAATGCTTTGTAACGAGTGTGGTAAGGAGAATATAATAAAATATTACTGGACGTAACTTAATTCAAGTAAACCAAGATAAATATGTGTCTCATTTTTTCTTCCTTTTTCTCTTTTCTGTTTTGCAAATATATGTGTTTATGTATTTTTAACCCTATATGTGTGTCTGATTGTTCGGTCCCAACACTTCTGAATTTGCTATTGCTTGAATAAAATTAAACCATTTTAGATTTTAAAAAACCCTATTTTTTCAAAGTACGAGGACCTTCTATAAAATAAATTTTACATGTGTTTTTACGGATGGCGCATCCTATGCCGTTTAAACCAAAATTTTATATTTTATGTACCCAAAAAAAAGTATTTTTTTTTCTAATAAATACTGATTTAAAAATTCTTCATTATATTTTAAAATAAGCCTAATTCTTTCTCTTAAATTTAGACATATGTTGTAGGATTGATAACTAATTTAAAATTATATTTATATTTTGAATGTGTTTTGATATATTTTAACCTATTTGTTTTAATTTGTATTTAGTGTATTTCTGGAGTTGTTACAGAATTTTTATCTGCCACACACTTTGTATTCTGAAAAGTATATAGATAAATTTTTGAGAAAAGTGTGTGTCATTTACAAAGGATGTAAAGTCGTGTCATTTTAAGTAAGAGAAAGAGATAAATCATAGAGGGGGAGAGTGGACAAAAAAATAAAAATAAAGATGTGAGTCTCACTTCTTTTTGTGAGTGAAATGACACAAATTGTGTCATTTAAAAGGATAGACAATTTTCCATAAATTTTTTGATACAAACTATATTGCAGGGAAAATGACAGACAAATTTTTTCTGCAAAAGTTATACTCTTTATTTATAGGGGAAGGATATACTTACTACCAAAAATATTTACCACTTTTACAACAAATTTAATCATCGTTGATTTTCGTCAATCTAACGGTTATAATATATTGAAAATTATTGGGTCGCACTTATTAATTCCAAAAAGTCAAATAAATTATAACCGTTAAATTGACGAAAATCAATGATAATTAAGTTGGTTATAAAGATGATAAATATTTTTGATAATAAGTATATCATGACCCTTATTTATATACCTTTCTACTCTTAATTTCTTACGTTATCTTTAAATTTTCAAGTTTCTTAATATGGTATGAAGAATCATGACATCCATTATGAAATAATTTCTATCTTCTAATGCATACCGTAGATTCTTTCCTTTCCCCACTATCCTTCATTTTCTTTTCTTTTTAGAAAAATCAATAAACTAACCCACAAATAGTGTGCAACACAACACTTAAAATAATCTTCAAACACATCCCTGCCATAGTTATACCAAACATGTTGTGAATAAAACTCAGTTTTCACTTGCTAAAATGAAATTTAGGATGTGCAAACTATAATCCAATAATCCAAACATATTATTCATGGTTGAGGTAGAAAACTTGCACAACCTTTATTTTTATGGGGCATGTTATATTTATATACTTTTTTTGCTTATAAACTCTTACAAATTACACTAAGTACGATCGGTCCTACTTTTTAGTCATGCAGTGTACGACCGGTCGTACTTAGTGTAATTTGCAAAAAAAGTTTGTAAACGGATCCTATCCCTATTTTTATAATATCCCTTTTAAATTCTTAAAAATGAAAACGTAAAATAAAAAAATATAATATGAGAAAAATGTTTATCTTTATAAAGGATATAACTTTGTGTCATTTTAGATCCTAACCGTGTATTTCTGTCAATCAACGATTATAATTTGTTACGAATTATTAATTAATTAATAAATTTAACCTAATAAATTATAACAGTTGATTCAACGACTAGGATCTAAATGACACAAAATTATATCATTTAAAAAGACAAACACTTTTCTCTTATAATATTTCCAAAATTATCACTAAAAATATAGGAAAAAGTGTTTATCCTTTTAAATGACACAACTTATATCATTTCACTCTCACAAAGATGTGAGACCCACACATTTATTTCTTTTGTCAACTCTCTCTCCTCTTTTATCTATCTTTTTTCTCTCTTAAAATGACACAACTTTACATCCTTTAAAATGACACACACTTTACCCAAAAATATATTATCTTGGAAATAAAATTGAAACACAAACAAAACTCGCCGTCAATTAATCTTTGAGACATGAGATGTCGCCTCCTGTCTTAGTCAAAACGTACTTGGAGACAGAACAGTTTCAACTTTCAACCTATGCCTATCGTTATTTAAGAAAGCAAAAGCTAAGGGAATCATTCATATTTCATAGTTCTTCTAAAACCCTTGTTTGACATGACCCTGGGTTCGGTAACAAAAGACAAAAAGCACCCTCATACGGGCATCTTTGGTTGCAAAGTCAACGTAATCAACCTAGATCCAAATTGCACACAAAGTTAACTACCCAACAACAAAAAACAAAATCATCTTTATTCATTTCCTCCAATTCGAACCGGGAAATTATGGACTCAGCTTAGTGTGGTGGTTGCGTCAGTGTGTCTACAACGACAAGGAGAACCCCATGTCGGCTAGTTTTGCTAATTTCATAGTTCGGGTTGTACCAGGTTAGTGTGTTCGTTCTGTTTCACCCACACTTTCGTTTTGAAAGTTTTAATATATGGGTCTGAATACTTTGATTCAGTAGCAAGAGTTGTGCTTTGGGATACTTCTAATCAACAAGTGTTAGAGGGGTAACTTGCAAACAATATGCTTTTAGGGCTGCTTACAATTTAATCTTGCAATGAAGATGGATATTACCATTTTACTGGTAAAAATACATACATGTTAAACCCAATTATGCAATGTTTACTGTCACCATTTTCAGGGTTTTTTTTTTTACCCATAACTCCTTTCCCTAAACTGATTTTGCCATGATAAAATACACACATGTTTTATTCCCATCTCATGTGAATTAGATTTTTGTGACTTCTGTTTGATGGGGTTATCGGGTCTCCATAGGTTGCATTTTGTTAATTGCAATTTGCAGCCTTACGTTGAAGATAAAAAGGAAGAGAAAATGAGGATAAGGAACCTATATAGAACACCAACTACTCTACATTGCAATGCAGGGAACAGATGTTGTTCTATGTCAGTTGTGCTATGGAGCTTGCTAGGATGCCTATTTTTTCTTTATCTATATTCCACTATTCACCACAAAGATGGGGAAGGCAGAGTGGTACAATTGCGTGTTAGTGGTCATCATCCTCAATTTCGTGAACTTCAACAAGTGGAAGAGGAGAACATCCAAATTCCCCCATCTAAGGGGAAGAGGTCCCCTCGGGCAGCAAAACGCAGGCCTAAGCCTAAGCGAAGAACCCCATTGGTTGATGAATTCTTGGATGAAGATTCCAGACTGAGGCACGCTTTCTTTCCTGGAAAAAGAAGTGTTATAGATCCTATGAAGGCTACGGGGAATGATAGTTATTACTATTACCCTGGGAGAATTTGGTTGGATACTGATGGAAATCCTATTCAAGCCCATGGAGGGGGCATTCTATATGATGAAAAATCAAGAACGTACTATTGGTATGGTGAATATAAAGATGGACCTACCTACCGTGCTCACAAGAAAGGAGCTGCTCGGGTTAGTTATTTTAATTTAATGAATTTTTGTTTTAACCATAAGTTAATAATTGTCCTGATGGCTATAATATATAGTTTATTTAGCTTTTTGTATTTCATTCAATGAATTTAATGGTTGCCAATGACTGAAATTGTATGAATTTTCTGCAATGTTTTTATTCACCCATATAAGGCTCAGAAATCTACCAATTATAAGTTCTTATCACTGAACAAAGTTTCTACTTCCAGGACATTTCTTATCACTGAACACTGATAATCCCTGAAATTTCTCCTAAATTCTACAATCCCTTTAAATTGTTACACGAGTCAGAGGAGAAATTACATGACACTATATTCAAAAATAAGGAGAAAAAAAAAAAAAAGATCTTAGCTCCACCTGGTGTTCCTTCCCTCATCCAGTTTCCAAGGCTTTAATTGGTAGCAAGAATCAGGGAAAATTCTTTACAAGAATTCAAAATGTGCTGCTAGGTGAAAGGCATCTGATCTGTAGCAAGTTCATATATGGAGTGGCCTGGGAAAAAACTTTTGTTTATGCATCCAAAAAACTTGGACAATCTTTTCTTTTATATTTTCAACTTTCTATTGTCATGAGCAAAGATGGTAAGACTAGTGAGTTTGTTTGCAGAATGCTTTTGGCCCCCATTTTTTTTTAATATGTGCTTTTGCTTTTTCTCCCAGGACTTTATGGACATGAAGTAAACTTGTTTCTCCACTTTAAACTTGCTTTTTTTGTTCTAGTAATGGTGTTATTACCATGTGCTAAGCCTATGCCCTACTGTAATAATCTCATCTTCCGTTAGCTTCCAAGGGGATTTTTTTTTTCAACCAACCATGCATATTTACTCAGCTGCATACCCTTGTGAATTTTCTCTCTCTCTCTCTCTCTCTCTCTCCGTTAGGTGGACATTATAGGAGTTGGATGCTATTCTTCTAAGGATTTGTGGACCTGGAAACATGAGGGTATTGTATTGGCAGCAGATGAAACAAATGAAACCCACGATTTGTACAAGTCTAATGTGCTTGAGAGGCCAAAAGTGATTTACAATGAGAAGACCAGAAAGTATGTGATGTGGATGCATGTTGATGATGCCAATTATACCAAAGCTGCTATTGGCGTAGCAATTAGTGATGCAGCTGATGGTCCATTTGAATATCTAGGTAGCCAAAGGCCCCACGGATATGAAAGCAGGGATATGACAATTTTCAAAGATGAAGATGGTGTGGCATATGTAATCTACTCCTCTGAAGAAAACAATGTACTTCACATTGGACCCTTGACTGAAGATTATCTCAATGTGACATCTCTCATGAGAAGGATTCTTGTGGGACAGCACAGAGAAGCTCCAGCTTTATTCAAGCACCAAGGCACATATTACATGATCACATCAGGCTGCACGGGATGGGCCCCAAATGAGGCACTGATTCATGCAGCTGATTCAATCTTGGGGCCTTGGAAAACTATGGGAAATCCATGCATTGGAGGAAACAAAATGTTTAGACTTGCTACCTTCCTTGCTCAGAGCACTTTTGTGCTTCCCTTACCTAGGTTCCCTGGTTCATTCATTTTCATGGCAGATAGATGGAATCCAAGTAACCTGAGAGACTCAAGATATGTCTGGTTGCCTTTGATAGTGGCTGGACCTGCTGATCAAGCAATGGAGTACGGTTTTGGATTCCCATTTTGGTCAAGAGTTTCTATCTATTGGCATAGGAAATGGAGACTGCCTCAGGGGTGGAGCACATTCAAATAATGTTGTTTCTCGTTGTACATTTGTGGTCATATATGAAAACTCACTATACATCTTACCAAGTTGCATGTCACGCACTTGATAGAAAGTTCACTCACTCTTTGAGGACACGGACATAGAAATTTCAGTCTCAAGAAGATGCTGTGCTTTTGACACCTTTCAATGATTCTCTCGGGTTACTATAAGTTGACTTTTTTATTTTTTGGCGTTACCAGTTATACAATGTTGAATTGCTTCACATGCAGTAGAGGTGTGTATAGTAGGTTACCTATGAAATTCATAAGAATATGTAGTTGATTTGACCAAATCTTTCTTGCCTGTTGGTGAGATTCAAATTTAAAAATATCAATGCAGCTATTAATTTTTATTGATTAACCGCGTAAATTGTATAATAATTTTCCTTTAGAAATTTTCGTAAAGAAGATGGAAACAGAGGGTTTGGTTACAGGCATTCTATTTAATGATGTTTGACTCTTGTTTTTATTGTGGTATTTTTACCTTTGAGTTTGACTGTTATTTATTTATGAGTTCTACTAAGATATTGTTTCTCTTGGTTTGGTTCATCCCTTTTTTCAAAAAAGAAAATTGGGCCAAAATTCGATAAACTGAGATGTGCTAAGCTTAATTGTAGGAAGGCCTTATTATGGGCCTAGTTCTGGTAGCCAGTAGGTTGTTATCCAAGTAATGGACCCAAGATATGGTGTTGGCTGTTAAATTACATAAAGCCACAACATGTAAAATATAATCCAAAAATGAGTAGGAGATGTCACATCATTTTAATTTCAATTGCAAGTCCCGAGCCAAAAAAAAAAAATGAAGTTAGAAGTTTGATGTTAATTTTCCTTCTTTTTCATTATTGCTTATCTTTTAAATAGCAATATGAAGTTATTCCATTATTGTCGGATGGAAGAACTATGGAGCGTTTGGTATGCGGTATTCTTCAGGATTTTCGGAAAATTGAATTTTTCTAAATTTTAAATTTTCAGATATTATCGTAAACTGAATATAAAAATCATATTTTTAAAAATCGAGATTCTCAGATAAAAAAAATTTCTCCTCTACCAAACGCTATCTAGGAGTTTTGTTTCAAAATAGAAAATGCAGACAGAGAAACAAAATCCTGACGTACTATGAGTTGGAAATTAAACACTTGAGTTATCTTTCTACTTGAACCTGGTCCCATAAAAACATAAAAGGCATAAGCTGGTTGTTGTCATTGCTATAGAAAAAGGATACTAAAGCTTAAACATGTTGAGGGTATGGGCCAGCATCAAACTCTCTTTAAAAATACACTAAACGAAAGCAACTATAATTGTTTTTAACTCAAAAGAGGGGGAAAAGGTGCAAAAGGAGAGTTGATATGTTAAGTTGGAGGGGGCAAGTACCACCAGAAGTTTAAGTTAAGATATGCATGCAACCCTAAAAAGACGAACCCACTACTCAATAATTTTTTTCCATCTCATTGTTTATGTACATACTACTGATTTGGCTTTCATGGGCAGAAGGTACCTCCAATGAACCCTTGCCTTCATGAAAAAGTTTAGGCTTTTGTAGGGGGCACACAGAGGTTAAAGCTAAAATTTTGTCATATATAAAGATGATAGACTTTAAACTATAGAGAGAATGGGAGGAATGCTGTTAAAAAGAAAAAGAAAAAAAGAAGAAGACCATTTTCTTTTTCGGTTTGGCCATTAAAAAAGAAGACCATTGCAAGCATAGCGTGCTGGCCACTAAAACCCTTATGCAACTAATGTGCTATACTCCTTTTTATGGATTCCCAAAGCATAAACCTAACTTGGAGGCCGTTCTAAGATTCGGTGGCATAAAAATCCCAAAACTTTGTGATAGATATCAATCTTAACTACTTTCTGTTATAGTCTTAACTACTTTCTGTTATAGTCAGTTAGTTTACCTTATGTCATGGTTAGTTCACTGTTATAGTTAGTTTACAGTTTTGTCCACATGGTTGGACTTGCACCGATTCATTTCATCTAGGACCAATACTATTAATAGGTCCTCCTCTGTAAATTGTTGATACTTTTTTATTATTCAATTCATTGATGACTTTCCAGTTTATTACATTTTGTAAGATGGTATCAGAGCTCTATGTGGAGCTCTGATAATCGCCGTTCAAATTTTTGCTGTTCCTTTTCATCTTCGTAAATCGTATTCATCGAGAGAGGTGATATGGCGAATCAGAACTCCACTTCTGAAGCTTCCGCTTTTGATATTTCAGATCCAGGTAATCCTTATTACCTTCATCCAAGTGAAAATCCTTCACTTGTGTTGGTCTCTGCACCATTGAGTGGGAGAAATTACCATGGCTGGGCTAGAGCCATGAAAATGGCTTTGATTTCAAAGAATAAGTATTCCTTTGTCAATGGAACGATTTCAGTTCCAGAAACTTCAGATCCTAAGTTTGCTGCGTGGGAAAGGTGCAACACCATGGTGATTTCATGGTTACACCGATCGATTGCTGATTCTATTTCGCAATCCATTCTCTGGATGGATTGTGCAGTTGATGTGTGGAATAATTTGAAGGAACGCTTCTCACAGTGTGATGTTTTTAGAATTTCTGATCTACAGGATGATATTTACAGGCTGCAACAAGGTGATAGTTCCATTAGTGATTATTACACAAAGCTAAAAATACTGTGGGATGAACTTGAAGCTTTGCAACCTACACCTACATGTAGATGTGTTAAACCATGTTGTTTGATTGCTACACAAGTCAAGGAGATTCGTGACAGAGACTACTCCATCAGGTTCCTAAAAGGATTAAATGATCAATTCACTCATGTAAGATCTCAGATCATGCTAATGGACCCGTTACCTAATGTGAATCGAGTTTTTTCGTTGGTGACTCAGCAAGAGAGGCAAATCACGCACTTGGAAGGTACTGTTCCGAAGTTTGAAGCTCCAAAAGTTTTTTACAATTCTGCTGATCAGAATTATGCAAGAGGACGAGGAACCTTTCGAGGCAGAGGTCGTGGGTTCATAGCAGGACGAGGGAGGACAGGATCATCTAGGCTATGCACTCACTGTGGGAAAACTAGCCATACTGTTGACACATGTTTTGAGAAACATGGGTATCCTCCAGGATATAGGCAGAGAAATCCTGTACACAGAGCAAATGCAGCTGGGGTAATGGATGAGAATCAAGGAGCAGAAGCATTACCCTATATCAACTTGGCTGATCAAGGAAAGGACAGCTTTACCAAATGTCAATATCAAGCTATACTTGACATGATTCAGCAGCAAATGCAGCAACAAAACTCAACTACACACATGAGTAATTTGGTGCACACTAAGGCTTTCAACATAAGCGATGAAGCATCAAAATCTCAAGGTAATTTTTCAATCCCATGGATTCTAGACACTGGAGCAACAGATCATATTACTTGTTGTTATGCAAGTTTATGTCATGTCATGAAAATTGATGCCATTCCAATTTCTCTACCAAATGGAAATGTTGTATACTCTCACTATTCTGGTGTAGCCATGCTCACAGACTGTTTGACCTTGAAAAATGTCCTGTATGTCGAAGGGTTTACTGTGAATCTCATATCAGTTAACAAGCTTATTCATGACATTAACTGCCATGTATTGTTTCAGCATCAAATTTGCATCATTCAGCAGAAACCATCAAGGAAGATGATTGGTTCTGCTGAGTTAGACAAGGGATTGTATGTCCTTAAACAAACTTCCAACAGTGAAGATAAGTCCATCCATACTCAGGAAGGCAATGTGAAGACAGAGAGAATAGTTGATTTTTCTAAAAATAGCTATGCTATTAAAAACTGTATAGATGATGTGTGGCATTTACGTTTGGGCCACTGTTCCAAAGCTGTAATAAGAGCAATGATGCTCCAATTTCCTTTTATTGCATGTAAAAACATTGATGACCCTTGTGACATTTGTCATTTAGCAAGACAAAGAAAAATACCTTTTCCTATTAGCTATACACGTTCAGCTTCCCCTTTTGATCTTGTGCATGTTGATATATGGGGGCCATGTTCAATTCCATCAATACATGGTTATAGATATGTTTTAACTATAGTTGATGACAATACCCGTTTTACTTGGGGAATTCTCATGAAAGCCAAATCAGAGGTGAGAAATCACATTCAATCATTTGTATCTCTCATTGAAAATCAATTTAACAGAACCATCAAAGCATTTCGTAGTGACAATGGACCAGAATTCTTGATGACTGATTATTTTCATAAAAGAGGCATATCACATCAGACTTCTTGTGTTGAAACTCTTGAGCAAAATGGAGTAGTGGAAAGAAAACATCAACATATATTGAGCATGGCTAGAGCAATTTTCTTCCAAAGTAAAATCCCTCATGGTTTGTGGTCTTACTGTATTGTGCATGCCATTCATCTAATTAATCGGTTGAACACTCCTGTGTTAGCAAATAAATCACCATTTGAATTGTTATATGCTGAGCCACCAACAATCATGCATCTCAAGGCTTTTTTGGGTGCCTAGCTTATGCTTCTACAACTATAGGTAATCGTTCAAAGTTTGACCCTAGAGCAAGGAAATGTGTTTATCTTGGTCACAAGGATGGAGTGAAAGGCTTTGTACTTTATGATATCAGTTCCAAACAGATATTCCTCTCAAGGAATGTTATCTTTTATGAACAGCATTTTCCTTTCACTGAGGAACAGTCATTTCCTCATGCTCCCTGGCCACTAGGAGGTGATCTTAGCAACCCATATGATGTTCCTTATGTCAAGGAAACTGATGTTGTCTCTTACAATCAGGATACTGACTCAATACCTATTGAGCCAACAGGACTCAACTCAGAATTGGTAGCTGGACATTCACTTGATCAATTGAATGCACACACTGTGTTGCCTGTTTCTCCCACTGCAGTAGATGCTTTGCTTCCAGAAATCATTCCTAGACGTTCCACTAGACCAAGGATGCTTCCCACACATTTGAAGGATTTTCATTGCAATCTGTCAGCCACAGTCCAGCAGACACCCAACTCCACATCAGGTTGTTTGTATCCACTATCTTCTGTTATATCCTATGGAAAATGTTCTAGTAAACATTCATCTTTTTGTCATAATATTAGTGCTTCTATTGAACCCACTACTTACCAACAAGCCTCTCAATCCGATGAATGGATAAAGGCTATGAATGAAGAAATTGAGGTACTCAATAGAAACAAAACATGGAACTTTGTTGATCTGCCTGCAGGAAAACGACCAATAGGATCAAAATGGGTTTACAAGATCAAGCATAATGCCGATGGTTCTATAGCTCGCTACAAAGCCCGTTTAGTAGCAAAAGGATATAACCAAATGG